TGCTCACCAAGTGCGTTTCAATGGGGGGTAATTTAATATTACCAAGCTTTTCAACATTTCTACAGTGCCATAGGGACATCATACATTTCTGCTTGGACTGTATGGTCACCCACCACTGGTGTGACCCAAGGGACCCAAACCAATTAAACTCCTTGCGTACTCTGTGATGAGATGGAAATATTCCCTAGAAAATAAAGATTGCATTCGCACGTAGTACAGCAAGTAATGAAAATCTTCAGCGCATGGAAATGTCCTTACTCTTGCTCAGCACTGCGGACGCCTGAGAGATCGGGTTTGGCCTCACAATCCCCTCCGTCGTGTGACGATTGATGCGTCCCGATGGGTCCTGCAGTTTCCAATAAAACACGCTTCTCGAATTACAAATAAAGTACACAGACAGCAGAACATTTCAACGGCCTGTCCTAACGTTCTGAGATCCAGTTTGTTTTTCTCGGTGTTCAGAAAACAGCGGGCCAAAAATAAAACGACATAAATCGGTATTTTCATTCAACGGCACAGTGCATACCACCAGACAACAGGCGACGTTTTAAGACACGCAGCAACAGTAACACTGCACTGTGGCAGTATGCACTGTAAATGGCAATAATGCATCATCTGCTGTGAAGATTCAGGGGGCGTTTACATCACAAATACCGAGAAAATGCCATTCTTCAACAAAGGTCAGAATCTGACAGCTCTGTGAGACATTTCAAGTTACCTGAACAGAGGAATTCTGACTGTATGTGCAAAAATTCGGCGTCACTGATCTCATCCCCGAAGTCAGAGTCCATTGGCGCACTTCCTCCTGGCGAATGCGACATTTTGCTGCGCTTTCAAACAAACTGGAATGTAGATTTCCACATCTGGTTTCACAGCAAGCGCGCATTGTCTCTCCAGCGGTCCCCCTGCAAATAATGACCCTACGGAGGCAAGACACGACGGGAAAAAACTTCCGCATTGATCTCTTTGCCCACAAGAGAACCTATTTAAAACGATCTGAATTGCGAATGTCGCGTTTCACCGGGCTAAACAACAGGTCTCAATGCTAATATTAAAATGATCAAGTCCGTATTATTCTTAAGAGGTTTATATGTTCGAGTTAAATATAGTATTTTGAACAAGATGATCTAAAAAAAGCAGCTTCTCGGAGACATTCAGCTAAAATAAAGTAGGACAATTAATGGCAGTTTCCTTATGACAAATTGCCCTAATTTATTTGCAGCAATATGTTATAGATACTCTTCTTTAAAGTTGTGTTACAAATAAGGACGAGTGTGGGCGTGGCCTGGCACTATGTAACCACACCCATGTCCTTATATAGCCAAAACACGTGGCGGAAAGGACGGTAGGGTGGGGCGAAGTTGTTCCTTGTTTCCATGGAAACGCGTCTTCTGGCACCTCGCACACATGCAAGTGAAAGTTACGAGACCAAACTTCAAAGCACACAGGCTTTTAGCACAAATTCAACATTTTCCAGAGACAACGGAATATTACGTTTTGGAACTGCACGCGTAAATCTGTTTATTATCCACAGCAGTTCGACTTTTTCAGGTCCTTTTTTTTGCCAGCAGCTGGTAAACATCTGCAGGTAAACAGATGTTTTGCGCGGGGCTCGAGAAAAAAAATAACTAATTATTTTTCTTTAAAAATACGACAGCATAGAAGGTAACGCTCGATTAGTGTTCATTTTGATCAGCAACGAGCGTTTGTGTTTTGTGAGAAAGCTTCGGTACGCATCCCTGATGAATGGGATCGGTCTGTTTCCACGATCTCTGTGATTAGGCCAGCTTAGAAAAATAAGCAACAAAATCTTAAGTATCGGTAGATGAGACGGGTTGGCATTGGCAGTTATGGCAGCTTTAACACCGTGTGGAGCCGGAAAACCACGAACAGCCGTCGGCCGCAGCGGTAAGAAGGAGCCGGTCCTCTCGGAGACCGGGAAGGAATTCCAGACCCCTCTGGAGTCGGGACCCAAAGACAGGCAGCACAAGAAGAAAAAGAGAGAAAACGGGAAAGAAAAAAAGAAGCCGGTTAAGGAGCCGAAGAAAAGGGGTCACTCTACAACTCCCTCCAACTCGGACGACACAGGTGCGTGTCACGGCGCCGGGTTTGTGCCGGACACGAAATGTTTGAAAACTGAAAATTCAGTTGGTTGTTCGCCGAGTTAAATGAGAAGCTCAGAAGCGAACTTTTTAAAAACTTAACTTAAGCACAAATTATATATGCCAGGCTGGGTCAATCTTGTAGGGTGCTGTAAGGTTAAAGGCAATCATGATACTGATTTTCTTTCTTCTTTTGAAGTGAAGTTGCATATTCTAACTACAGTAAAAAAAGGGTATA